CATATGATGTTAACTGCCCATTAAGGGAAGACGGTGATGCTATGTTCTCTGGGAAAAAAGCCGAATTGCTTAAGACCACAATCATTAATGAAAGCCAACGAAAATGGAAAAACATGAATAGCATAGATAAGAACATAAGTCAATCAAAAACCGCAAAGCTCAATTACTTCCATTAATTACTTCCATTAGATGCCATTTCAAATGAATTCACTGAAGTACCTTCACTATGAATTCCTCCCTTAGAAGTTGATATTGAGTAGTTCTGGAAAAGTTTTCTCCTCTTAAATGAACTCCTTTGAGTTCTTTGTCGTGTGTAACAAATCTTCCTGTTGCGGAAAGATGGTCTCATTTCTACCTCTGGTACGAAAGAAGAATAAACCTCCAATTAATGAGGCGCCGCCCTCACATACTTAGATAATAACCAATAATTATAATCTAACCATAGATGGTGCACTCATCATATATAGAAACAAGTTACAAAATTTTTCGTAATTCACATTAACATACCAGTGTTAGCAAGTTCCCTATCTTTTGTCATTGTTGTAGCTACTTTCCAGAACTTGGTTGCTAACTGCTTTCTTACCCTACGGTGCCCTATTCCTTGATGCTTCAAGGACTTGGCTGTTACACTGGGATGAATGCAGCCAGAAGAATTTTCGTCATCATCTCTATCTACAAGACGTTCCTGACACTGGGAAGACAAACTATTATGAAATATATGATCACCATTATGATGCGCCTTGAAGCTTTTGTTTAAGCTTGTCAAAGCATGTGGTTTAGCATCCCTGTCCATGTTATCCTCCAAACCACAAGGGGTTGAGGCCTTTCGACCAACTAGAGCACTATCTCTAACTTTACCTTCAATATAAGGAGACTTTTTCTCTGTGCAAACCTCCTTATTTGATGCAACAGATTTCAAAAGAACATTAGCAGGCCTTGAAGTAACCTGACCTTGGGTAACAAGGTGAGAACCCAATGCATTCTTATTAGAGCTTCCCAGATCACAAGTCTTATCTTTGACTGGCTTCTCATCATAAATGTGTTCCTCTTTTATTGCATCATTTAGGGGTCCAATAATTTTATTTGGTGCCATAGAACTCTCTCTTTCTAGTAACAACTTTCCTGCCACCGCTGCAAGCAAGTCGAAGGCACACATCTGATTGTGCACTGTTTTCTTCCTAACAGAACGTTTACCCTACAAGACAACTATTCAGAGTTGTGGAGAGTTCAAACAAACAAACGACTAAATTACGTTGAACGTTAAATGAAATACCAAATTATGTTAGAAAAGATTATACCTTAGCTGATTTAGGAACTTGGGGTATTGGTGGAACCTGGTACCCATTATTTCCGTAGTCCAACCTCTTATGCAACACCATATCTCAGTAATTCATGACAACAAGAAGGTCAACAATAGTTATGTGAATGGCAATCCTTCAGAGTTCCATCTACACTGAAAAAAAATGTGTTATTAGCCAAATGGCTCTACATTTGGAAGAATTTAGCATCCTAAAATGAAACTAAGGACAAATTCAAAATCATTCAACAGGTGAATCATCTGGCCTAAAAAAAGCCATCAATCAAGCTAAGGGTTTCTTTTTTAAAGCCAATTCTTTACCCTGATTTATTTTTAAACCCGCAAAATTCTGAAATCTTTCATACACCCAAAATACACAAGCTGATTAATTTTAAAACGCAAAATTTGTGCATTAGTATGCTACAATGTATGGTAAATTGCTATAATTTGCTATAACATTTGTTTAACTTCTATTATATTAGTTGAAATGCTATAATATGGAGTCTTGGTTGACAAATAAATCAGGTTGGGTGTTTTGGGTGTATGAATAATTTTAGAAGTGCATGATTTAAAACGTAATCAGGGTAAAGTATGAAGTTTAAATCCAAAGACCGTAAAGCTAGATACGATAAAACAATTAGACTACATGAGAGCATCAAAACTTTCAAGCATTTACCAAATTCCAAAAATGTGGGTACAATAAAGGAAGGCATTCAATGAACTGAGATTACAAGGAGCATGAAAGCACTTCAACCAGCGAAATAAACAAGGAATTATCAATCAAAAATACTCCTTGAACCTCAAATCTTTGCAAAAACAATGCGGCCTCAAAAGGACCATAGGAGGACTTTTTATTTTAAATTCATTTATTAAGAATATTATAGAAAATTGAAGCTTGTAACAACAAAATCATTAACTAAGTGGACCTTGATAAGTTCCGTACAGTTCAAGTAAGATGCTTTCTAATCTGAAATGAAGAGAAGGCAACTGAATTCTAAAGAAATCTCCAAAACCTCATCGAGTTTCAATTATATAATCGGATCTCGATTGTCTAAAAGGCAAACAAAACAAAAAAAAAACAACATTTTCAATCGATCAACCAAAAAATGAACACAAAAAATATCAGAAATAAGACGTCAAAAGAATCCCCATATATCACATAATTCCCCAAGCGAAATTCAATTAGAAATCAACAAACGAGAGATTAAATTCCTTAATCGAACACCGAAAACATCAGAAAACCTCAGAAATGGACGCACTCACCTCCTATCGAACAATTGAGAAACAAAACCGTGCCAAATTCGTCGAAATTCTCAAACAAAGTCCAATTCGAAATCATCAAACGAGATCCACAGAAAATTCGGAATCAAAGAACAAACACAATCAAAACTTGGCGCTCAAAACCCAAAAACAACACGAATCGGAATCGCTCACCTCCGATCGAACAACTCAAGAACAATTCCGCGCCAAATTCGTCGAAGTTCAAGCCGATGATAGATCGCCTTGATAAAATCGCCCTCCGACGAACTCCGATGTACAAAACCCCGCGAATTTCACCCGACCGACCTCCTGATCACGATCGGACCACAGAATTCTCTTCATCCAATCCTTCCCTATTTTCTACAGATCTTAAAGAAAATTCCCGATTTTTTTCTGATTTTTATTATTTTTTATTTGATTTTTTTTCTATTTTCTCTGTTCTTAGATCGCCAAAACCCTGAACCACTTCTTTTGCTTAAACCCCAACTCTTATACCATTTGACCCCGGCAACCGGTCTAGCCCGTAAAACCCCCGCCACGTCTACCGCCTATGCCCGGTCTCCATCCCACCGAGACCGTTTCTTACCGTCCACCGATCCCTCCCTTAGGATCCTGACACGTGTCGGACGGTTGGATCGTACGGCTCTTCTTGTTAAATTTTTAAAAGGGTTTTTCTCCGCAAACTCAATTTTGATATGTTATGATCTATTATATCACATTGACTGAGTCAATAAAGAATTTATAAGAGGTCTAGATTTCATCTTCTGTCAAATAGCTTTTGGCGCTTATTTCTCCAACATCCCTTGCAAATTTGTTACTAATGTCTAAATCGTTGTAATAGATGCATAAGTAATAATGTTTATCTATTTAGAAACAATTGAGTACAGGTATTAAGAATGGCTTTGAAAGTGGATGTGCTTAGAAATAAATCAAGAAAAGCTTTGGGTTCAGGATAAACTTCCTTTTTGAAATGGACGCCACTTTAGTTCATAGGGACGTGATTGTGATAGCGGTTAGCTTTTAATTCTGGCCGTCCGATTACGATCCAACGGACGATTCTAATTAGTTATTAAGAATGTAATTAGTAAGTAACTAGCGGTTGAAGAGTTGGGGGTTAAGTGTTAATAGGTGGCGAGAGCGGAGAAGGTTTAGAGAATTAGAGGAATTAATGGATAAGATTTCCGTAATTTTAGTAGTTAATAAAAAGGTTTGCGGACAAGAATATTCGAGATAATCTTTGAAAGCGGATCCAGATGAGGATTTATGAGGATTTTTAATCTGGAAAATTATGTGGGCCCCTGGCGGAGTTGGCCTCATTTATTTGGTGGCATATAGAACTCATGTAACAGGTTTGCAAAAGAGTAAATAGGCCCTTAACTTGGGAAGATTATAAGAAAACTCTCTTAATTATAGAGATTGTTGATAATAGGTGTTAGTAGTGGGTTTTTAGTCCCACATTGGTTGTGAGAACATATCTCACCCTCCTCTACTTGTATAAATATACGTGCACACTCAATATCAACTTAAGAAAAATTTACTTAAGACTCTATCTCTCTTACTTTAACATGGTATCAGAGCTAGGGTTATTATTTCCATTTCAATAAAAAATTTTAACGCTTCTGCGTTCTTTAGCCAAATCTTGGCATTGCTGCTTTGCAGCCCTTTAAACGCCTTTTTTGCGTTCCTTTGCTAGATTTTTTGCATTACTGCTTTGTGACATCTTAACGTGTTTCGCGTTCTCGTATTCAAGATCGTTTCTCGATCACAAATTTACGGCATCACTGTTTCAAGACCATCTCTTGGTATCAAATTTACGACATCTTCGTTTCAATACTGTCTCTCGGTCTTAAATTAACGGCATCGCCATTTCAAGTCGTCTCTCGGTCTCAAACAAACGGTATTGTCGTTTCACAGTTAGTTACGACATCGCCGTTTCAATCCATCTAGACGTCTCAACATTGGTATTAATCCGTTGTAGCTCTCTAGCGTGAGCATCAGATCCGATCGATCTTCGGGCCACCTTGTTCGCTGGTTGCTTCTTTTTTTTCAGATTTAATAGTCATTTTAACCTTCGGGTTTCTACATTAACCTTTGGGTTCTTCTTTAAACATTTAGGTTTCGTTCAAGGATTATTATCTTGAACTTTGAATTGTTGTTATTATGGCATCTTCACTGGTACTTACTTCTCAGGCTCGGTCTAAGCTCTTTGCACCTATTGCAAGAAGGAGGGACATCGCTTTGAGACATGTTCTCAGCTTCGTCATGAGTTACGTTCCTCGAGAACTGGCTGTAGTCAGTGATCCCCTCAGTCTCGATCCTCTAGTGCACCAGGATTACCGATCAATGTTATGTCATCTACCACTTTAGACCCTACCATTTAAGCTATTGCAGATATTAGCCGTCAAATTGTGGTTCTTCGGCATACCACCTCTCCATCTGCTACAAAACTATCTGATATTCGCCATCAAATTGAGGCTCTTCAAGCTATTACAAATATTAGCAGTCAAATTACGGCTCTTCAGCATACCATATCTCCATCTGCTGTACAACTCTCTGATATTCGATAACCATCAAATTGATGTTCTTCAGTATAGAGCCTCTACATCTACTGCATAACTCTCTGGTATGATTATTGTTAGTTCTTCAACCAACCTTTCGGTCTCTAGTATGAATGATCTCTGGATTTTTAATTCTGGTTATTTCTTTCATATGACTCGTAATGTCTCCCTCTTATCTTCTGTCTTTACTTCCTCTTCTCTTCCCCTATCTACATGGCTGCGGGACAAACTTTGTTTATCACTCAATATGGCTCTATCATCCCACTAACTGACACATCTGGTCGTCTAACTCTTGGCCCCATCTATGTGGCTCCTCAGTTGTGTTTGAATTTAATTTCTATTAACTCCTTATGTATAGATGGCCTACTTGTCTCATTTTCTTCTATACATGTATTGTACAGGATCCACAGGCGGGCAAGACTGTTAGGGCCGGTCGAAAGAGGCACAAACTATATTTTTTGGAATATCTTCACCTTCCAGAGTCCATACGTTAACGTTCTCTTGTTGCTTCTGTAAATCCAAAATCCTCTATCTTGCTTTCCGCAGATTTGTGGCATAGACGACTTGGTCATATGTATCATCAAAGGCTAAAAAGTCTTATCCAATCCGGAGTACTTGGTCTCGTATCCTCTTGTTCTCATATTGAGTCGTGTACTGGTTGTAAATTGGCTAAATTCATTGCTCTACCGTTTCCAACCAGTACATCTGTTTCTACTTTCTTATTTGATTTGATCCATTCTGATATCTGGGGCCAGCTCCTCTGACTTCTTCATCTGGCTACTTATATTATGTTAGTTTTATCGATGTTTTTTCTCGTTATACATGTGTCTACCTACTCAAAAATCATTCTAACGTGCTTGCTGCTTATCAAACCTTCACTGCGATAATCTTCACTCAATGGTAAGTATGTATTAAAGTTTTTCATTCTGACTGTGCCAAAGAATATATATCCTCTACCATGTGCTCTATCATCTCCTCTTATGGGACTATCTTTCAACAGTCGTGTCCCTACACTCATGAGAAAAATGGTATTGCTGAATGCAAACATCGTCATATTCTTGATACCACTCGATTCATGCTCATTTCTTACTCTGTTCCTCATCATTTCTGGGTTGAGACCATTCTCACTGCTACTCATGCTATTAATATCACTCCATCTAGCTTTCTTTCTGGTGCTACTTCTCATAATCGTGTTTATACTCATCCTCCCCATTGTAGACGTCAAAAATGCTTACAGACATCCAAATATCACTCAAGACAAAGAGAAGGTGATAAACATCAGTATCTAAGTCATGGGAGATCATACAAGCCCAAAGGAAGCAAAAGGATCTGTGAATCAACATAAAACAATGTGAATTCACAGAACAATGCAAACTACAGCGTGTGGGCGCGGCAGCTCATGGTGCCGCGGCTACAGCGCGGCAGCTCATAGTGCCGCGGCTAAGACGCGGCAGTTCATAGTGCCGCGGCTTGGGCGCGGCAATCCATGGTGCCGCGGCTACTATAGGGGATGCTACAGCGGTTACGAGGTAGTTATGTGATGATTATGTGAAGTCTACGTGGCGGCGTATCAGAAATAGAACGTGTGCTGACGTGTACAAGCAGTTAAACCACGAAAAAGGTGGTTAAAAGTCGTGGGAGGACAGTTTCAAGCACGATGGAACGTGCTGGTAACTGCCCCTGTGGCCGCTGCAGTTCATGCTGCCGCGCCAATAGCCGCTGCAGCCTTTAGCCGCGACAGCATCAACTGCCGCGCCTAAAGGGCTAGTCGTTGATCGGCTATTTCTTCAGTTATTGTCCAAGGAGGCTATAAATACCCCCCTATGGACATCATTGACGGGGGGCTGAGCATTTTCCAGAGAGATTAGAGCAGAGAGCCTTGAGTTTTGGTGAATTAGAGCAAGAGAGAGAGTCTTCCTTCTTCACAAACATCCTCAAGAAGCTTCTAGCGAGTCCTAGAGATCTAAGCTCAGACTTGATCTTTGGAAGAGTGAACATCTTACATCGATAAGATATTCGCTTCAAATTCTTACTTCGATAAACGAAGGAAGAATCATTAAACCCCTCACGGTTCAATCAGAATCTGTGATTTGGTGGTCCACGAGTCAAAGCGCTCCCGGCACAGGCAAAGATCCCACGCAAGCAGCGATCCAAACAACGGTCCTGCGTTTGTTTCTCAAGAGTTGTAATTTTCCTTTTGTTGTGTAAAAGAAGTCTTATAAAAAGACTATTTCTTTTGAATTTATTGTAATCGACCGAAGATATAATGAATTCCACAACGAAACCAACTTTTGACGCAAACAAGCTGGCGACCACAGTGGGAGCCAACGGTCTCGCTGCCGAGACCGTCGTGTCGCAGCCGATCAAGATTCCAGTTGAATCCATGGTCGAATACGAATTCGACCAGACCAAGTTTGAGGAATATCTCTCATCATCCTCTTCAAGATCTTCATTATCTCGCAAGTACAAGAGGATCTCACAATTGAGGAAGAGTTGCATGCCAAAGAAGGCACAAAATGAAGACTCTCGCTTGATTGTTGCTGAGAATTTCACTCGCAACACCTCTGCTCAAAATGGCTCTTATCTAATTGAAGAGTCATCGAATCAAAGCCCGACGACATTGACGAAAAGAGCTCGTCAGAGACAGCGTCAGCGTCTTGCTCGTCAAATAGCTAAGGCATTTGAACAAACCGACGGAGTTCGTTATTATGCGGACTTAGAGTCGAGGAAACAACAAGTGGTTCGTTCAACGCAACGACGAACTACTCACGTTTCTGCACAATTCACAACGGAGGAATGGACACTCATCAAAAGGGCTCGTTCGACCCTCCAAGAACGTATACAAAAACGTCGTGCAAACGTTGTTCATGCCCGTGCTCTCTTACAACAAAG